GCAGAGAAAAGGGAAGTAATTATAGTGGCCAATCGACTTTCAGCAGTCATCAGAGCGTCAAGGGGTAAAAAAACATCAACCAAAAAGGATGGAGGCGGGGTATGAGTCAGTTATAGCGGTATACGCTAATTAACTGTCGGTGAAGTCGGTGGCCGTTCGGGGTCATTAACATTAACTAGTGTAATGCCTTGTCCCCACGGTAGAGGGTCCCGGCGATCCTGCCTCATCTTCTGGCCGGTTCGTCGTGGGGTCCTCTTCGTTTGCAATGCTGACGCTAGGTTTGGCCTTGTTCCGTCCTTTGGACAGTTGATTGGCCTATGGCCACTGTAATTACCTTCGTTTTGGTCGCTACTTCTCATCGCTGAAGATGGACTCCTGTAAGAGTTCCAAAGTTCAGGACAATAAATCAATTGATCCAGTTCTCGACACGTCTTCTTCCTTATCCATGCAGATATCTGGAACACGAACTTTTTCATTCATTCGGAAACAGTGTTTGTCTGCGCGCTGGACGAGGCTAAATCAGCGCGGGAGCTGACAATCGCGTGATCCACAGGCTGCTTGGGTTATAGTTCACGACGTCCAACTCATTCCCCAGTGCAAAGATCCTCACACTACATATTCAGTGCTGAGACATTGTGTGGCTAGGGTTACAAGCTGCGTGGGAGGTGGGGGGGCGCAAGCAAACAGTGTTTCCGATGTCAGTGCCAGATTTTAAGGTCGTGAATGTCGGCCGTCAAACTATTATCGCATTGGCAGCAACCACCTCTGATGCAAGGGAGTCGATAATTGTCGTTGCTGTGTGGTAGCATTCCGAATGCATCCTGCAAATACAGCAATTTTATGTGTAAATAGTATTGCCGGCAAAAATAGGAGAGACTGGAATGGCCATTTTTGGCTTATTAGACGTCGTCAGTCAATCCTACCCAGACCCAATTGGTGTTCAATCCGAGCCTCGATCTCGCGACCTTTTTGATCAGAGTCTGATTTCTTAACCATTGAGCCACGAGCTCGATGCCTCGCCAGTTTAGTTCAGGGGATATTGACACTCGTTGATGAACGTTCAACTGCCCGCAAACGGAACTTATCTGTCCCGCTCTGTCTTGGGCCTCGACAGAGGCCCTGACAGCCATAAGAGCTGGTAATGTAGGCAGATACTATTGTCGGCAAAGACAAGGGAGACTGGAATGGCCATTTCTGGCCTTTGAGCCGTCGCCACCCAGACCCAGACGGTGTCTCATCTGAGTCTCGAACTCAATTGTCAATGTTCCGTGACCTAAACCGGCGAGACAACGAGCTCGTGGCTCAATGGTTGGGGTGGTTGGCTCTGATCAAAAGGGTCGCGCTTTCGAGGCTCGGGTGGAACACCACTTGGAGTTGGGTATGACCGGCTGACGACGGCCAATAAGCCAAAAATGACCATTCCGGTCTCCCCTGTCTTTGCCAGCAATACCATCCGCCTACTGCCAGCTATTACGTCTGTCAGGGCATCTGTCGAGGTCCAAGGCGGAGCGGGACAGATGAGTTCCGTTAGCTGTCAGGTGAGCGTTTATCAACGAATTCTACGTGTATTAAATATCCGTAGCTGATGTTATATAGACTGTGGGTTCAAATCTGAATCCCAGACCTCAGGCAAATAAAGTTATCTTGTGTCCACGTCTTCGCAAATAACATAGTTTGCGTACTTGTGGAGAAGTTCCAGAATGTTCTAGGGAGCAACGTTGCTTTAGATGCTAGAAATATACATTTCCGCCTCCACAGACTTTGTTGGCGTTCCTTGGCCTTTGAGCGTTCACCGACAGGACAGTCTGTTCGATTTCAGAAGCCGACTACAGAGGGGATACTACAGGCACTGCCAACAATAAACAAATAGATCGTATTTTGGTTCGAAAGGCCGATTATTTACCTTTGTGAGCTGCTTGCGCCCACGTAGTGGCCCACATTAATGCTGAACCTCTCACCGCTTACGACCGTTTGCACGTGTGTACTAGTAGCCTCCCCCCGGTCTATCTGGCCAATCATCTTCAGGGCTTAACCACACATGAACTCGCTCGAGGCACTTTGACGTCTCTTATGCGCCCATAATTCGGACGCCACGCTTGCAGCTCCGGACCTGCGGTAGTCCAAATGCCAACCGTTTCAAACCCATTGTTCACTACTTCTGTATCCTTTGATGTTGTATCACACTTCACCTCTATTCCACAGCAGCTGGTAATTGATGTTTTGAAACAGCTTCTCACTGGGCATTACGACGAGGGGGACAAACCCTGAAGTCTGAACATTTGCTCGAATTTCTATGGTATTGCCTTGAAATCTACTTCACATTTGGTGGACAAATGTATGAACAGATTAAAGGCACTCCATTGGGCTCCCCCTATCAAGCCTGATTGCTAAAGTGGTCCTTCAACGGATTAAACACTTGGTCTTCACCAAGGATCAACCGAATTTTTTGGCTCGTTATATCGATGAAAGTTTCGTCATTATCAAAAAATCCGACATTGAACACCTGAAAGAGTTACTAGACTCGCTTGACCCGAATATCCAATTCACGATGGAAGCGGAAAGAAATAACCAACTACCCCTCCTCGATGTCCTGGTGCGCCGATGTTCATCTGGACAACTGAAAACTGCAGTATTCAGAAAAGCCACCAGCAAGAATCAAATACGACATTTCAACAGCAGTCACCCTCTGAGTCACAAACGTAGCAGCGTTCTTATTCTTTTCCAAACATTTGAAACACATTGCAGCACGCCAGCTGAAAAAAGAGCGGAACAACAATAGCTACGTCCCCTTTTTCGGGCTAATAGATACCCTATTTCTATTATCAATCAAAGGAAGTACCGAGTGAATAGAATATGGGCAACAAAACAGCAACCCGAAGTCTGGAGGACCAGTCCCTACATAAAAAGGAGTTTTCGAAGCAGTTTCTCGACTGTTACAACCCGCTGGAGTAATAAGAGCCCATCATCCTCAGGTGACAATACGCCGCCGAGTGATGCAAGAATATGCTAATTTTCGCTGTATGCTTGCAGTAACGACTATATCCTATAAATACTGCAAACTTTTGTGCGTGCATTTCCCGTCTCTACTACTGTTTCTTACTCATGTCTCTGATGATGAATCCGCGACGGAGGTCAAAACGTCAGGCGAATAAACGTATTGTTCCAGCGATCGAGTCTTCTTCTTCTCACCTCTGCAGTTGTCTACAAAATACGGTGCAACGGTGAGGACTGTAATTATGTTGGAGAAACAGGACACAAATTGCAGACCCGTCTACAAGAACACAAAGCGGCGGCCCGGAGACATGACTCAATCTCTCAGCTTGCAACCCATATTGGAGAAACTGGTCACAACTTCGATATTCAAGAGGCGACCACTGTGGGCCGGGGAACCCCAAAAGGGGAAAGACTGATGCTTGAGTCATGGAACGCAGAAGCCAACTCTGTCAACAGGCATCTAGACCTCCCCGCGGCCTACCGGGTCCTACGCCATTACATTATTAAAGGAGGCGATCTGGTCAAACCGAGCAAGGCTTTGCAAACAAAGACGGCCCCGTATCGAAACCACCGGAAGAGGGAGCAGGCTTACAGCATCCTCTACCGTGGGGACGGAACACAACACTAATTGCCGTCAAGTTACGCCAAAATCCACGCGTAGGGCCATGCAGCAAGCGTAGAAAAAAAAATGATCAGCCCATGGCCAATACACTCAGCCACAATTTTGAACGGCTGATCCATAAACTCAGTTCTTGCTTTGACGAAGGACAGCAGGCCCAGCTGTCCGAAACATCAGTAGAAAACGAAACACATTCCGGCGAGCAAACATCATCTATGATTCTAAGCCCGGAATCCTTACCTTTTCGAATTTGAATAAAATACACTATTCCACCCTACTGGCGTCCCACTGCTTTTCTTCCCATACGGAACCATTACTGAAGTGGCTTGGGTCTCCCGAACCGACTTAGGTCGCTGGAATACCAACGCCACTCATGCCAGCTATCTAGCTGTCTTGGTCTACAGTATGACGAGTGCTAAAAGCAAAATGCCGCAATTTTCGAAACAATGGTTATCACTCGCAAAAATATTAAGTAGGAACGCAATACTGATTATCACACAGTCTAATCTCAAAACTTATCGGT